AAAGTGACTGAGGCAAAAGAGCTGCAAGTAGTCCTACACTCCATACTGGAAGATGGGCAGGCTTTGGAAATGCCTGAGAAGGAATTCAGAAAAATTATTATAAAATGTATCAAAACACTATACAACAGAGTTGAAAAAATTAAGGAAAAAGTCAGGAAAGTGCTACAGGAACAATCAAATAAGATAGATACAATATTAGAAACAATTCAAAACCTACAAAAGAGGTCCAAATGATTAATAATAAAATATCAGAAATGGACAATACACTGAAAGGGCAAAAGAGTAGAATTGAAAAGATAGAAGCCAGAACTAGTGAACTAGAAGATAAATCTCTTGACACTACTAAGATAGAAGAGCAAGCACAAAAAAGGATTTTTAAAAATCTGAAGAAGTTCTAAGATTCGTGTTGGACAACATGAAGAGGAATAACTTAAGAATTATTGGCATTCCGGAACAGGGAGAATCACAAAGTCTATAGAGGAAATAGTTGAAGAGCTTCTGGAAGAAAATTTCCCTAACATCCTGAAAAGCCAAAAGATAAGCATTCAAGAAACTCAATGAACCCCAGGAAGGATAGACCCTAAAAGAAAATCACTAAGACATATCATAATCAAGGTCTCCAAAATCAAAGATAAGGACAGAATCCTGAAAGCAGCTAGGGAAAAGAGAAGTGTAACAAACAAAGGAAAGCAAATCAGATTAAGCTTGGATTTCTCATTAGAAGCCATGCAGGCAAGAAGGCAATGGGGTGACATATATTAAAACCCTGAAAGAAAAAAAACTGCCAACCAAGAATCGTCTACCCTGCAAAGCTGCCAATCAAATATGATGGTGTAATTAAAACATTCCAGGATAAACAGAAGATAAGGAATTTTGCCAAAGCCAACCCAGCTATGAAAAACATCCTAAAGGGAGTTCTGTGGACTGAGAACCAACAAGAACAGACACCAACCATAGATTGACATACATGGCAGCAGCATCCTGAACTCAATTAACAAATGGAAGAGTCAAGAAAAGAACAAAATTGGGAGGGAGGGGAAGGTGGAGCACAGGGCAGGGGTTAGACACAGGATAGTTTGGGTGCTAAGGAGGGGGCAATATACAAGTAGGGAGAGGGGAATGGAAGAACAAAGCAGATGGGAGAACAATTGGACAGGTCTCAATGGGCTAAGTGAGACAGAGGTAAATACTGATATATGCACAA